ATAACAGAGCAGAAGCGTTGCGTTTAATCTGCTTGTGACTCCTGCTCTTCCTTGTGACGACATTCAGATAAATAGACTCAGAACTCCACAGTGAAGCAGATGCAAATAGGGAAGACGTTTCACTAAATGCAAGATCTCAAACTGGTTTTCCTCTCACTTTCAAATCTGTGAAACAGTGACAAGTGTTTTGTCGTCTCATTTTACGTCATTGAAGAAGGGTTAAATTGGCAGAACAAGATATACTCTCCCTTTTTAGCTTGCACAAAGAAACTAGGAATGAAAAAAGAAAAGAAATCCCCACAGTAAGCACAAGATTGGGATATTGTGTTAGACTGAAACTGCTCAAGAGCCATGGAGATCTTTGTTTGGGTTAGTTTCTGCATAATAGGGGAGTTACCAAGGAATTGGATTACTCAGCCATAAATTTGCAGAGTTGCAGAAATGGAAGCTGTAATAATAGTGTCTGGAAGTGAAAACGAAGCATCTCTGCAGTGTCTTACTCGATTCCTAGAGCTGAGGAAGAAACTCAGGTTGTCCTGTGAGTCCATCAGTGGAGGGCTCTGTATGATCCTGTTTTCATGTTTTGTTGGAGTGGAGGATGTCCCTTGTTTTGCTTACTTCTTCTGCAACACTTGCTAGTTTAATCTGATACATACTTGTTTCAGTAGAAGAGAAAACTTTTGATCCAGCTTAAAAAGCAGAGTTTACCAGTTTGCAAGTTGACCTTCCGTGTTCAGGGCTTCTGTCATTTACACGGCATTATATCCCTCGCATGTGTGTTGGGGTTTGTTGTGGGATTTTAGTGGTATTAAGGTCAGATATTCAAATGCAGCCTCAGGAAAAACATACTCATCTTGTCTGTGCCTATTTATCTAAGCAAATCGGAGAGTCATTCCTCAAATTATTTATAGCAATCTCCAAAAGCCTGTTTCTGTGTGTGTACGTGTGTGTAATGGCTATATTATAGGACTTTATTCATCGAGTATGGGTTACAGAAATCTGAATGCAAATATATCTCAGTTGAGGTAGCCAGAAGTTGTATTTAAATTAATGGACTTAGGAAAAAAAGTGTCTTGTTTATCTTGGTATTCTTTCATTGAAAACAAGTTATTGATTACAATCCAGGACATTTTGGTTGTCTTGCTTATGCACTTTTGTGACTCTTGTTTCTCTCTGGGTTGGTCTTCTCTATATGAGAATAGTTGATGGATTCTGAGTGAACTATGGTATTATTATAAAAGATTTCAACTGTGAAGCTTTTAAAAATCTAGCTTGATTTTTGCTCTCAGATTCCTGTGGTCTGTTGCAGACATTTTTCAGTACTGTTTCAAATAATGGCTTTTTTTATGATGTTATTTTTCTCATGTTCTGACAAACATTCTGAAATGTAGCATAAAAATGTTTCTATGAATTGCTGCAAAGTATACTTTAAAGTATACTTTATTGGTATAGCAAGGTTTAGGGTTTGGTTTTGTTTAGTTGTTTTTTGTATTTTGCTTTTTTTAAAAATGATCATTTAATTGGAAAGCTATATAGCAACCATCTGAAATATCAGGCAATGTTTTATATTCATTTTTCTGTGACCCAAATCCATTCTTGTGCTCTGTTGTGGATGACTGGCAGTTCCTAATTTAATTTATCCATATTCTTTCACAAATGAGAATAAGCTTTGGATTTAATATATTCTTTTGTACTATAATACGTAATAAGTGTATCAAAGAACATAAGAGACAAGAAAGATCATCAGTTTCTAAAGCTCAGGAGAATTCAGAGCATTGTTAGAGAAATATAGAAAATGTTTGTGGATGCTGTTTGCAGAAAATGAAATGAACAACCATTGCCCATCCCTCTTGCCACGCTATGTGTTATGAATTCAGACTTGAGGTGCTCTATGCCACATCAAGCGTTTTCCTCTGTGTATCAATTATGATCTGAATTTTTTCAAATTTCAGGTATTTTAAAAGCATAATAGTGCAGCATTTAGAACAGTATTTCTTATGAGAACACTGATTACATTATGTCTGTGCCTATTACCCACTTTTATCCATCCTGAATTTTCTTAATATCTGGTAGTGGATCACATGGAACCTGAATACTGAGTAGCACTATTGACTGTAGTGTATCGTAACCAAGGATAAGGCTATTAACTAGTCCTTTTTATTTATCTGTGGAAGGCTTAAGGATTCCTAGAGCATAAATTTAGCTTGGAGGCTTTTGTTTGTTTGCTCTTTTTTGTTTGGTTTGTTTCCATGATCTATCTTTCAAGAAAGAAAACTAGGGCATCAATTCATTTTAGAAAGCGAGCATTGTTACTGGATTGAAAAGCACCATACATGCCCTAGCCTTTTACTAGATTCCTCAAGATCTCAAGAAACTTTTGTGATTATTTAGGTGGGTAAAGCAAAGGGCTTGTTAAATGAATGCATTAGAATGTGAGCCTATAGAAGTTAGTAGATTTACTGACTGTTCTTCCAGTAACACCCTCTAATGTTGTCAGATGATAATATGACTAATCTGGTTTCCTCATTTCCAATCTTTTAAAAATTGGATTTCTTTTGTATAGTGTTGTCAGTAAAATCTATTTAAATGTTTGACTGTACTTGAGTCACCTAATAACTGTTATTCCCCAGTTCTATTTAGTTCATTGTAGATTCATCTTAAAAGTGTGTGCTTGAATTCCACATGTGTTCAAATTTTTTCCTACTGCTTTTGTATTGAAATGTCACTGTGCAATTTTGTCTTAATATTTTGACGACCTTGCTTATTGCATAGTCGCAGAAGTTTGCAGACACTTCTGAGATTTTAAGCTAGAAAACGCTTCATTGAGATCTGACTGTATAAGTGTAGACCTTTTTTTTTGTCAGTCACAGGGAGAGTGGCAGTTTTCTTTTTGTACTTTTCAATATCCAATGTTGGCTTTGACTTTTGAGGACAGTTTTCTCTACACTGTCACTAGCATGCCCATACTTGTGGCTGGTACAGTACAAAAAAAGTCACTCTTAAAGGCAAACAAGTCAGTTTTTAAATGTCATGAAGCTGGAAAGAAACAACGGAAACCTGTTGCAGCTATGTTACAGGGGAAAAGGTAGCAGTGAAGGGCGCAAAGCATGAGGTTGAGTGAGCGTGTGCAGAAAACAGACAAATTGGGTTAACGTCCTTTGACACTGGCTGTTTGAAAATAGGAAAACAAAGTACAGAAATACCATCACACAGACAAGGCAGTGATCTCCTCCAGGCAAGTAGCAGCACATGGAAGAGTAAAGGACACATAGTGAGGATTAAATACATAGGAGCTAGAAGGTGGAGGAAGAAAGGAATAGCTGAAGTAGATGGCGTACACATTAGGAAGAGAAGCAAAGTCCCCTGCGTCTAGGAAGAAGAAATAGAGAGAAATTAGCAGTTCACTTGTGGCTGGAAGTGAATCTGGGAGGAGAGAAGGTCCATGTGGCAGGGAAGGGCACGGCCACAGCAGCCCCGGCATGTTGGAAGGGCTGTGCAGCTCTCCATCGGTGCCTTAGCTGAGAGTGCTTTTTATTTAGTTAATCTCTCTGTTCAGTGATGGGAGTGAAAGTACGAGCATCTGCATCCACATCAGAATTCCTTGTTAATTGTAAAGATAAGGAAAGAGACCAGTAGTTCACGGATTGTATTCTTTTCTAACACTTCAGTCCTAAAGCATGTCTCATTATTCCTGTAAGAAGCAGTAGGTCCCACTGAACAGTGGTGGTCCTGAGGCTGTTTCTTCCTCTGCCTTGTAGAGCATGACCTGGGACAGGTGACGGCACAATTTTTGCCTCAGCTGCTTCTCCGTGAAATGCAGATGATAACAATGTCCAATTTTGTAAAGCACCTTGAGAAATGCAGGAACTATTTCTTATTTTTTGCCTAGCCATGCTGTTTATGGTTTAAACTGCCTATTAGCGTCTTAGGGAAGGGTTGAAGACACCACAGCATTAAAGTTTTTGGGGAGTAATTTGGAGGAACAATTAAGTAACTTTTTTATATAATGTGATTGTGTATCCTGTGTAGTTTCTATTTTGTAGACTTTAAAGAGCTAAGTTCAAGTTGTTTCATGGCAGCAAAGGGTAGTCTAGCAAACTCACCAAGTGGTCCACAGTAGAGGGGCCTCAGTGCAAAACTGAGGTAGACAGACAGAGGGAAAGAAATGCAGAGACTTGACACTGCAATGTAGTGAAGCACCTTTGTCTGCTTAGAGTGGACTGTTTTAGGAGAACCGCTTTAGCCCGGAGTTAATTCTCACACGCATCACAGTTGAGAAAAAAAGAAAATCACATTAGCTGGATTGCAAAAAATGTGAAATTTCCTGTAGGTTCTCCGTATCAGGCAGTAGATTAAGGAGAAATGAAACACAGTATTGAGATCGAAGAAGGCAGAAATAAAGAATGAGACTGTTAACTAAACATCATGTGTGCAGTAAGTTTTGTTAGGTCTATAGTTACCTAGTGACGATGCAAAGATGAAATAATCTCTTTCAGTTATTTGGGCATTTCTTCCTTGTACTGTAGTGCTGTCTGGGAATTAAGGATCAGGTCTCTCTTGTTGTGGGCATTGCGTAAGGATCCCGTTAAGGTACTCACTGCCAAAACTGCTTGCAAACTTGGGGGTTACAAAACACCACACACTGTTTTGAAATTTCATATGCAAATACATTTCTGTTATGCCATTATAGCATCAGGTGGAAATGTGGTTACTAGTGATATATGATAGAAGCGTGTAGCCGTTAGAGTAGCGTGAGTTTTCTTGAGTCAGGAGTAGCAATGATATTTTCTTAATGAATCTTTGAATGTGCAGGGAGTATATTGATCACTAATCTCCCACTTCTTTTAGAGGAGATGAATGCTCACATCCCTGTCCTCATCTGAATAGCAACAAATTTCATGTACCATTTTCCCTGACAATTTGATTAGATTTTTAAAATATTTATAGACAGCAAGTTCAGAATACTCAGAATAATATATCAATTCTTTCTCTTTTTACAGAGGGAGACTAAAGGTCAGTTTCTCATAGATCACATCTGCAACTATTACAGCTTGCTGGAAAAAGACTATTTTGGCATTCGATACGTTGACCCTGAGAAGCAGAGGGTATGTATATGAACTCTGACTACATTTGCTTTTAAATAATGCTAAATTGATTTTTATTTTTTTTTCAACAGGCAGGCAAGTTCTAATGCAAAGTTATGTATCTCTGAGGATTTATACTCTGGCCATAATCCATAGAGGTTCCTAAAGTGGCATTATTAAATTAATTTTCCCTTCAGTTCATGTATTTGGTTTCAGGTAAATTGATATATTCTGATTTGTGTAGTTCTCCGGGACACTGAAGATAGAAAAAAAATCTATAGGCATGACTCAGAGGTAGCACAGGGTAGCTCTAGGCTCTAGCAGTGCACTAGAATTTGAGATTTCTATTTTTCTGTAGAGTATGCTTCTTGGGAGATGTAGGGAGGAATCCTATTGAGTTTAACAGCTAAAAGCAGTCATTCTGTTTTACTTTTCACAGAGTGCATGGACTTAGGTGTTTGTAATACACCAAATAGGTATGATTTATCGGGTTGTGGAGGGTCTTCAGGTTAGTTCTCCCTAAGTTCTCTCTTGAAGTTTGTGCAATAAAATTTACAGGCCTGTGCCCTAGGCATTTGTGTGGACAGTGATTAGTCATCTCTCTTAGGCAGAAGGTGGTCCTGCAGGTTGTATTTTGTAGGTGATTTGCTACTGCTACCCCCTGTTTGGTTTCAGATGGTTGTTACTGTTTGAGAGTAGGAAAGGATGGTCAACACAGGAAACAGAAGTCCTCGGAAATGAAATTCAGAAGTGCTTCTTCACTGTGTAGTCCTGCTGGTCTCAGGATTAAGACTTAGATTTGACTTTAAAAATCATGAGGGCATATACTGTCATTTAATCTCTGGAAATGATCACCAGTTTGAAACTGCTGTGATTCAGGAGGAGAAAAACATTTTGCCGAATATCTCTTGCTACACCCTAATTAGTTTTGTCAAAAATCACTGGAATTAGGGAATCACCCTCCGCTCAACCTTATAGAATTGCAATAACTTTGCGAAGCTGGAGCAGGTCATTTCCATTGCATCCTCCTTTTAATATTATAATAATTAGCAGAATAATTAGCAGTTATTCTGACCAGTGTACTTAATTCTTCACAGTCGTTAAAATTATAGAGGTGTTCACCTGATTGGAAATGATAGGAGAAGTAGGTGGAGTACTGGATTAGCCTATAATTAGGTGGGACTTATTAGTTTTGTTGGTCTTTTCTCTGACAGTCACTCAAAAATTGCTACAGAAAAGTTATTTTACTTAACAGCAATCAAGATAGTTTTTTAGTAGAAACTTTAGTGTTTTGACACAACACTTTAAGAAAGTGATGCTTCACAAAACCTCTAAAAACCCGCTTACATTGGCATGCCTGTTATATCATACCTTGTATGGTTCCCATATTTCAAAGAGCTGTTAATGATATTGACAAATTCACTGCAGTATCTTATTCTTGTTGGCTATGGAGTTGTTCTTTTACATCTTGAAGTATAGATAATGCTCTGTTAAGTTTATGGAAGATTATAGTTTGTACTGAAGCTTGAGTTTTCTCTTAGTAGTAAAAGACAATCTGAGAAAACATTTATGTTCTTACCTAAAAAATCTTAGGTCTTCATTTCCCTTTGTATCCAACAACTAAGAACACTGTGGCCATCCTGTGTAGCAGGGTGGCTTATATCAACTGGCCAACCTTCAGCTAGATTTTGTTAAGCAAACTTCTCGAGCTTACATTTTCCATACATGTATTTTTAAATGCTGATTTATAATTACTTTCATATTTCTAAGTGTATGGATAACTTCTCTAATTGAGCATTAGTTCTTGATTTTAAACTCTCTCATGAATTAGGACATTAATTATTAGGGACGTTTCTTTATACAGACTTGAATGCTCTGGATGACGATTTGAAAGCGACATACATTTTTCTCTTAGGTTTGTTACATTTCATCAAAATGAGCTATTTTTACATGCAGTATCTTCTATCGTCCCTTTGTCCTGTTCTGTTGGGTTTGTCTTTTTTTTTTTTTTTTTAAGATTGCACTTCTACATGTTTATGCATAAAATGCTTTCCCTCAGAGTGGATATTTTCTCTGCAATAAACCCTACTCTAAGGGCTAAATTGAAGACAAATGTTAGAATAAAATAATGCTGTTTTTATGTCATCTGGCTTTTCAAAATTTCTGATCTTGTTGAGGCTCACTTACCTCAGTTTTACCTCTATATCAGATACAGATGCATGAGTACCTCACAGTCAGGTGTCGGAAGAATGTGAAATTTTGTTTACAATTCTTCTCCCATCAGCAGAAGACTGTCCTGATCTTCTTCAGATCCTAAAGAAACATACTAACCAATAATCCCCTAGTAGTATAATAAACACAAGACTTTATGAATAATTATGCTGGGAGCCGGGTGTTGTAGTTAGATAAAGTTCATCAGTAAATGACTCAGTAGAAAACTAGGGGAAATCGTGATTTTGAAATGATGCTGTAGATGATGGTTCTTCGCAGTTTTGTCTTTTAGCGGTTGTGAGATTAGCTGCCTGAAATTTATGTTAACAAAAAACCCTGAGATTACAGAGGAGTAGTTGTTTAGGTTATAGAGGTAAGAGATTAGCTGTAGCAAGTATAAGATGTGGTGGGATCCCAGGAGGAATGTCACATCATTGTAGCCACCTTCCAGGAATGAGTGCTTAGAGCTCTGTGGATTTCCGAAGCTCTATGGAATTCTTGCAGGTACAACCAAAGAAAAAAGGAGAGACATTTCCTGCCCAGTATATACTTATGGGTTAATTAGATGTATTACAAAACAGAAACAGTAGCTTAGTAAAGATATGTAGGTGGAATTCACCAAGGACTTTTTTATAATGTTTAATCTGGTGATTTGACTGAGAACAATTGCTTTGAAGGAAAGTGATAATTCATCCTAAAATGGTTCAACAATGTATCTAACAATGTACTTCAATGCTCTATAGGCAAATGAAGGGATGTGGGACAATGAATAAGATGAATACTGCCTGGTCTGGTTTTGGCAATGAGCCGAATAGGGTGTCATTACACCCTGATGAGACCTCAGCTGTGCGGATCTAGATGTCTCCATTTAAGAGAGATCAATTTAACTGAATTGGGAGGAGGAGTATTAAAAAGATAAAGGCAACGGAGACCTTGTTTTTGAGACAATATTAAGAAGGGTATAACCCATTTAGTGCAGCAAAACAAAGCATAAGAAGATATGGTTATACATGCATCAGAGTGTAAAGCAGAAAGAAAAAAAGAGAGAAAAAAAGAGAAAGAGAAAGAGAAAAAGAAAAAGAAAAAGAAAAGTTTGAGCAAGAGAGATGGTTTCTTAATTAAGCCAATGAGAGCTGCAGGATCTGGAACTGCCAAAATGAAGGCAATGGGGCAAAATTTTTGACTAGATTTGTAAAGAAATCTAAGAGAGAACTCTATAATTTTGTGGAAGGGTTTTATATGAAACATTTACAGAGATAGAGATTATGTACCATCTTCTGAAGTTTCTTTCAAAGAATATGTAGTAGAACCTGAAACAAGAATGCATGACTTTTTTTTTAGGAGAGTTATTGTTGATTCTGATGTGGGTAGTGTACGATTCATGTTGCTTTGCCCATTTTCTTGGAGGTGTTGAATGCCTCCATTGTAGCTTATATTCCACTGCAGAGTCTCTGTCTTTGCACAGAAAAGGATATATCTGTGGTTCCAAATGTAACTGCCAAAATCACGCATTTAATTTGGGCTTGTAGTGAATTATTCTTGATTGACTCTTTGAAAAGTTAAGCTCTATGACATAGTAGTATATTATTATATAGTGTGCACACACTTACATATATATATATGTATATAAAATAATATTATGCAGAATTACTGCTGCTGGCATTTAGTCTACCAGTGATGCTCGCCTCCCTTTTATTTGTATGTAATTTTTTGTGTGAAGGTTGCAGAGTTGCTCCAAAAGTTAATTTGCAATCCTTTTGTTTTGTAATCTATTAAGAGAGCTCAAGCAGGCAAAAACACTAGCTTTAATTCAACCTAAATGTCTTCTTTCAGAGAATGCTACCAAAATGTAGCATTTTGACTTAGGAGTGTTGAAACACTTGACTGAGTTTGAGAATTTAAAAAATGAAATGTTTCAGTATTTCAGATGTTTCAACTGAAATGTTTCAATATTTGTGTTTAGAACATTCAGAACTTCTGACTATGTGAAAAATGTAGATAATTGAGCTAATTGTCTTAGGCTGAAACAAAATTTTGAAATGTGGGAAAACTGTGGTGGGGAACAACAGTTATTTTTATAAGTTATTTTTCAAGTAAGTTACAATGTATACTCCTTCCTCTCCCCAGCCCCTCTTTTATAATAATCCTTTCTATCTACATAAGTAAACGTGTGTGGATATTTTAGGCATACTTAAACTTTGTAAAATTTTTTATAGTTTTCTATTTTCTATTCCAGACCAAAAAAGAAAACTGTGGAAGACACTTAACAGAAAGCAGCATGGTAGCTTTTTTAATATTCTTGCATATAGAAGAGAGTAAAAATGCCAATGACCTCAAATTGAACTAGCAGTTAAAGACTCTAGGTTCTACACCATATCTGCTCTTTTATCTTCTAGTGTCACGTTTGGATGTTCCTCTGGGGAAACCGTGCCTTAGGGTAGCTTCAGAAAAGCCAGGATTGTACTAAAAGTATGCAGTAAATTGCAGTATGCCTTTTTAGGTCTAATGGTACTATGCTGGGAACAAATGAGTTCCTAGTGTTCATATATTAACTGTTGAACTTTTCTTCTGGATTTCTGAGAAAACTAGGTATATGGGGTCACATTGCCTTTCTCCCCAACACTCAACTGTAGTAACTTTTGAAGCCAGTTTTGGTCAATTTTCACTGGGGATACAGGTCTCAAATATTAAGTTCCTCTAAGGTTTAATGAAGATAAGCTGCTACATCAGTGTGTAAAACTCTATTATTCTTCTTGCTGAGGAAGACACTGTAGGGCAAACCCACTCCGTAGGGAATGTAGAGAGAGCTG